GAATGTTTGCCAGCTTTCCTCTCTCTTCTGGATTGTGTGGGCTCCAAGGATGACAGTCAGAGGTTTGTGTCTGGTAAAATCAAGCACAGTGTATGTCATTAGCTTTCTCCTGTCTTTCCTGGTAACACTGAGGCACATCTTTCAGGGGCATGGCCAGGAGAGACCGACTGGGCTTTAGAGAAGAATGGTGGGAGCAAGGAGCTCTGCCAGTGAATCTACCCAGCCAAGAGGCAGAGCCAGTTCCTGTTTGATAGACTGGAGCTCTGCAAGGGTTGCTTTACCTCTGGATCTCGAGCTGAGTGGATTTGGTCCAATACTGATTCTGCGTACTAAGATATGTGGACTGTTGGTCCAGGCTTCGTAGGCCCATGGAAGTCCATGGCACCAAGGAGGGATTTCTAAATCAGGACCCTGCTCCAGGCCAATGTACCTTTACTGGCTTCTACATCATCTGCAGAAGGGGCTGCCTTAGGAAAATCAGGAGGGACCCTGGGTATGGCTGGGAGTCCCTCTCAATCTAGCAGGTGGGACTTGGACATCCGGGCTCCTGGCTTCTGCTGATCCTCGTTTCTGCTGCTCAGATGTGGGGACTGGCCCTGAGCCTGGGTTACTGGCACCGGGGCAAAGCTGTCAGCCCTGAGGAGTATAGTAGCTACACCCAGAGTCATGCACATCTAGAAAAGACCTCTTGCCTCTCCATGCCCCAGTTTCTCCACCTGGAGAGATGGAAGAGAGCTGGGCAAACACCTTGTTCATAAGAGATTATTAATTCTGATAACAGTCTTGGAGGTCTTTAGTGGCAGAAAGGGCAAAGCCTGACACCAGGAAACCCTGCTATGCCAGCAGGTCAGTGACAGCAAGGGAAGAAGCCAGTCTGACTTCTCATTGTTGACATCTGGGGAGAATAAAATTAGTCATGGGGGGGGAATAAAAAAAATAAAGGTAAGTATCTGAACATGGGCTGGGGAGGGACATGGGGAAGGATGGCTCGAGGGAGAGCTGCAGACAGACCCATGCTGTTTCGGTGCTAGCCCCCACAGCCTTGCCCTGTCCCAACAGTGCAGCCTGCACTCCCTGCTAGGGAAAGAGTTTGACCACAGCCATGAAGGAAGTGATTCAAACTGTTAGACCTCCATCTAGGAGATGTTACCCAGACCATGGCAGTGCAACAATCTCGTTGCGCCAGGTGCTGTACAAACATAGCAAAAACTTACATGAAGCACTGAGCCGCTGTCATCACCCAGTTTGGGGCCACTAGGAAGCCTCCGCAGAAGTGGTTGTTCTTTCCTTGCAGATAGGCCACGTAGGGTGTGGAGTGGGTCTTGGCTTTACCTCCTCCATCCATCCGATTCCAAGAATAATCTGCAATGAACGGGACTGAGGATGAGCCGGATCGGAGGGCGCAGGACACGCTGTCTGGGACTCTTCCTTCCCCAGCCCTCTCCCCGCCTCTGGGCCACTCTACTTACTGGCTTTGGCTGGGGGGCATGTCACCAGCAGGAGAGAGAGCAGGAGTTTCTGCAGGCACTTCATCATAGCGTTGTCGGCTTCAGTGGATCCCTTGGAGGTGAGGCTGCAGCTGGGGTCTCTTCTTGCTCCCAGCAAGGTTTTATAGCCTGAGACTAGACTCCAGGAAACCACAGAAGTCAGACTCATCTGATTAATCTATCTGCAAATTGCATGCCTCAGCAATCTGAGAGGGGAATTCAGTCAGCCTTGGGCATCAACCCACCTTCATCTTGGGCCTGATCTGGGGTATCTGATGTCCTTCTAAACCCAGAGCCAATTTTAACCCATTGCCTTTGAGCTGGAAGCTATAGGGAGCCTACCTACCCTCATCACTTTGCCTGCCAGTAGGCTCTCCCCTTGCAGCTCGTATTTGTTGTGCACTTGCAAACTTGATTTTTATCATGAGCCTTGCAAGAACAAGATTTCTTTCACTCGATGTACCAGTTCCAAAGCCTGTGCAGTGGCAGTTGAGGACCCTCCTGCTTTTTCAGTAGGTGTGGTCCTGGCTAATAGAGCAAAATTGGTGTGAGTGCATTTATAACACCACACTGGTCATGGCTATGTGAGGGCAAGAAGTTGGTGTGGCAGCTTCATGAGCGTGGCCCACAGCAGTGTGACTGCTGCTGTTGCCATGAGGTCTCTGTTCTGCACCAGCTGCTGACTTAGGGCTTTGCTTTGTACAGCAAAAGACACCTTTTTAAGTGTTTCTTTCCAGATGTAATTATTCACTGTTGAATTGTGGAGTTCACTGTCTCTTACCAGCCAATGTGAGAGAAGACAGGAGGACACTTCCTTGACCTTGGGGTAGGGGCTCACTTTCCCTCTAATGTGTTGAGGGTGGATGGAGACAGGTTTGGGATTCTGCCCCTTCACTAGCTAGAGATAACCCGATGACACGTCTCCCTGAAGCTGGTCTTGTTCCTCTGGGAAGGATCATGTCCAAGCGTGTCACAGCCAGTGCTGACCCCACCCTGGCAGGCAGTGATTTTTAAATGCCAAACAAGTGCCAGGTGCCTTTCTGCAGTGCATGGTGGGGATCTGTCTTCCCTGGATCAGGCCCCACGGCAGTTGCTCCTCCTCCTCCAGCCCATGGTGAGAGGGACTGTGCTGGAGGAAGGGCTGGTGGCAGATCACTGAACACACTCCCCCCAGCCCCCAGGATGTCCCCTTGCCTCCCCACTGGCACCAGTGCACGGCTCCAGCAAAAGGTAGAAGATGGGCATGTCTATGCACTCGCCCCAGCAGTGGTTCCTTCCATGACTGTGACGAAATGGGGCTGATACGTCCTTGCTGCCCTCAGTGACTGCCGGTAAATTTGCTTTCGTATCTGCCCCCAGTGCCACAGGGCAAAACCCATTTTTAAGCTAAAAGCTGCTATTCTCGTGCAAAGACTGCAGCAGATGGAGCTTCAAGGAAAACCCTGACGTGACAAAGATTTGTGCTATGCAGATAAGCAGTTGCAGCCTTTTCACTTGCAGATTTCCTAGCTGATAGCAGCTGTTAGCAGAAGCCCAAACCATGGACCCTTCTCAGTTTCCCCAGGGTGGCATGGGTGCTGAAGGCAAAGGCGATGTCATTTCCCTTCGTTCCAGGCAAGAACAGGGAGAACATAAGAGCAGACATCCAGGGCCAGACTACAGGGCACCTCCTCCCTCTGACAGAGGTGGCTACTGGAAGCCTAGGAAAGACTATGAGAACAGGGCAAGCATCCCGTTCCTTTGAATTGCACGCAGTTTCTATATGTTTAAAATTCCCTGCTGGGTTTCCCCGCAGCAAACCAGTCTGGTCTCCTCTTGAACTTGCACAGACATTTGTCATCCTGCACCAGGGAGTTCTGCAGCTCAGTTGTTTACCAATGCGCTGTCTCTGCTCCTTGTCATCTCCTCCAGGGAAGTGTCTAGCTCTCTCCTATCTGTATGTGAGAGACACCATCAGAAACTAGCTGGAATGAAGGAGACTAGGGCTCAGAGCTTAGGCAGGTTGCTTTACACCCAGTGCAGGCCATGGAAGGAGGGGCTGGTGCAAGATATTCAGACTCTAGTGCGGGGGTTGTCTGAAAATGGTGCTAGAGCATCCTTTGTGGGGAGGAGAAGCTCGCCTCTGAGCATCACCTAGCTGAGGGGAGAGTCGTAAACCCTTTTGGTTTTGTGCTACTGCTAGAATAGTCTCTGCTCGTGCTGTTCTGCTAGAGCTGGGCTTGCCTTCCTGAGAGGGACAGAAACATGCCAACAAGCTCCAAGGCAGACAGCTCCCAGCTAGGACTCACCCTTGCCTTCTCCAGAGAAAGAGTCTGGCTCTCCTGTGATAGTTGGCATGAGAGAAAAAGAGGAAGTGGCATGGGGTCAGGCGCTTTTGTGAACCCAGGTCCTTTATCAACCCTTTCAATACAATCCTTTCAGAGACGGCACCCGTGTCTCTACCCAGGACATCATATTGCTATTCAGGAGATGGAGCACTGTGGCTGCTGGAGAATGGCAGAGGCAAAGACTGAAAGCACTGGTGTGCAACAGCTGGGACTTTGAGTATGTCTCCTCTCTGAGATCCTAAAGCCCCATCCCTGGGATCTCAGCCGCCACCTGGCCTATGCCCAAGGGGGAGCAGAAACAGCACAGTCCACAAAAAGTCCAGCTCCCTTCACCTGCTGAAGCCTCTTACAGCTAAGACATCTGAAAAGATTAGCCTGGTTTCCCCTGTGACCCAGCCTGCTCTCTTGGCTGCCCTATGTCCTAGGGTGCAACATCACCCAGGCACAAGGTCCCTGCAGAGGGGACAGTCATTACTTTGCAGGGAATGGCAGTTTTTGACCCCTGGTACCTGCTGACACACCACATCCTGGCTGTCAGCTGCTCCCAGGCAAGTGGTGACGTTGCTGAAGTTGGTGAATGGAGTGTGTGCACATCACTTTTCCCAGCCCGTTTCTACCTGGGCAGTTTCTCTTCCTGCAACACACTCATCCCCATGACCCCAGGAAGGGCAACTGTAGCTCTTGTCCTCCAAGTCTGCCAGCAATTCAGTGGATGCAGAGCTACAACTGCCTCTGTCCCAACAGGCTGACCTCTCACTTTGACCAGCTAGACCCTCCCTCCCTCCCTTCTCCCTGGGGCAAGGTACGAGAAAGCAGAAGACATATGCTGGGAAATGCAGCTCTGAGTTTACTGTGGGTGTTTTAAGTGCAGCAAGGTTCAAGCAGGGATGGGGTTACCTGTGAAGGAAATGGGGTCTGTTGTAGCACAGCCTCTTTCTGGTACCATCTGGGATGATCCCTGCTTCTGCCAGGGTGATTTAACATGGCCCTGAACTGGCCACCTGATACGGGCAGGGAATGGGACAGCCAGGAGCCTCAGAACAGAAAGAAAGGGACCCTTGTGTGCACCAGTCAGGTCATTCAGGTTCCCAAGGAGAGAGGTGGGAGTCAAGCCTTCAGCAGGGGCAGGAAGGAAACCAGTGCAGTCTCCAGGGCCGCACTAATGCTAGAGCGAGTGCCACTACTGCTACTTCTTCAGGGTTTTTTTGATCCAGGGCAGGTGGTTGGAGATGCGGGTGTAGACTCTGGGTGGGGAGTTGTACCCAAAGGAAACGATGCCTTGTGCCACCTTATTGCATACCGGGGGCCCGCCAGAATTTCCCTGAGGACAGATAAGAGACTGGTTTTAGAGGCCTCTTCCCTATGGGAACAGGTTTCACCTTGGTCCCTCCCTGCTCAGGCACTGACAGCAGGGCTGTGTCTCTGCTCTGGATCTGCGGCTCTGCTCCTGCCCCCCATGCCCGCCGTGCTGGAGGAGCTGTCCGGAGCAGGTGAGTTGGGGCTCTACCCCTGTGACTGCGCATGGATCGTTGTGTCAGGGATGTGGAAAGCTAGCCCACATGGGAGCTACAAATCAAATACTTGTCACCTCTCCTGGGAACCAGCTAAGTCTGTGCCAGCAGAAGCCCCTGCTACCAGAGAACCCCCCTGCCCTGTGGCCAAGCCCCCAGCCCATCAGCAGCCTGTACCTGGCTGGAATCCCTGAGCTCACAGAAGCTGCCGGCACAGACCATGCTGGTGTTGAGATGCGGATAGAAGTGGATGCATTTCCTGCGGTGGTAGATGGAGACTTTGGTTTCAAAGAGCTTGTTGGTCACCTGGTCATCATCAATCAGGCCCCACCTGGCTATGCTGCACTTGGTGCCTGTGGGGAGGTCGCTGCCAATCTTGGGCAGTGGAATGGCCTTGACATAGTCATTGAGAGTGGCCTTTGCTGTCAGCTGGGAGAAAGCAAGGTTTTTGGAGAAGGCTATAAGCAGAACAGCTGAAGGACACTTCGTGCGCAGAGGTAGGGGAGGTCTAGCAGAACATACAGCACCGCAAACTCTGGTGAGCTGCTGCGAATAGGGCACGCGGCTCCAAGCCCTGCCATGGTTCCCTCCCAGGTCCCTCCCATTTCTGCCTGCCTCCAGCACTCATGGGCAGAAGCAGCTGATGGTTTGCAGAAGGAGCTAACAGCAAGAATGTGTTCTGCCCAGACCCTGCTAGATGCACAACCCCACTCTACCCTCCAACCCACTGCCTGCTGCAGGACCACCTTGCCTTGAGCAGCATGATGGCGTTAGACATGGTGTTGGGGTCATATTCAGAGTGCTGGTGGTATCCGAGAACTCCCCGGATCTGCTGTGTTGTTTCTGGCTTGTGGATGTTGTGAGCCCCCACAATGACTGTGGCATTCCTGGCCATGGCAGCAGAGGGGAGAAGGGGGAAAACAGGTTGGGTCTCACCCATGTCCCTCCCCTTTTGCAGGCAGGCGGAGAGAGCTGCTCAGCACAGGAGGAAGAGGAACCTACTCCAAAATTACCGCAGTGATAGACCTCACAGATTAGGGGAGGAAGAAGGGGATAAAGCCCCTGTACGAAGTACTCACCCCATGCAGTGTGCGGCTGTCATCACCCAGTCAGGGGCCACCAGGAAGCCTCCGCAGGCTAACATCTCTACCTTCAGGTATGCCATGTAAGGGTGGGAGAGGAGCAGAACCTCGTGGCCCCCCACAGTCTGACCCTGTAGAGCACCTGCAAGACACTCCACCGCAGGATGAGGCAGTGGCTGCTGAGGTCAGAGTCCAGACCAGCAGCCTCACTCGCAGCAGCTTGCGGCACCCCAGCTTACTGGCATTGGCCCATGGGCAGGAAAGCAGGAGCAGCAGGGGCTGGGGCTGGCACATCTCTTCTCACAGCTGGACATTCCTTCCAAGATGTGTGGAAGTCTGAGTCTCCTAGTGCCCAAAGGCTGGTTTTATACACTGGGGCCAGCTGTACCCAGCAGCCAGGAAACCATGTGCGATGGCCTGATTGTGCTAATCAGAGCAGTGCAGCATCCCTGCAGGTCTATCTGCACCTCTCCTGCCCCGGCCTGCTCACATGCCCCATGTGCCCTGAGGCTGTGATTGATGAATGATAGAGCAGGACAGAAAGGCCAGGGCAGAGAGACCATGGCATGCCACAGCCCCAAAGCCTCAGGGGTGCTGAGGAGAGGTGTCTTAGGGTATTTCTGAGGTGTGATTTAGCATTTCTCCTGCAGTTTGGCTGCAGGACAAATCACGTTCACCTGCTTCAAAGCATGGTGTCTTCGAGCTCTGGCAATCAGGCTATCCATACTGTACCTTCAGTAGTTCATGCCACTTGCTCCTGGGAGTGGTCAAGTCACCTCATGCTTTGCTGGCAAGTGCAATGGCTGCAGATGCTCTTTCCCCTCTGTGGTTTCCCCTCTGCAGCTGGTCTGGCCACTGGCACATCTGTTCAAATGGGACCAGGGGAAGCCTTCATCTACCCTGCTCTGGAGTCTCTGCTCTCTCCCTTCCCCGACCTGAAATTGCCTGCAAACCAGGCTGCAATTGTTGTCTTCACCTTGCCCCTAGCAAAGTGGTTAAATGCTAAACTGAGCACCAATCCTGCTGCATTTGTCCCTTCCTGGCCTTGTGGTCCTGAACAGAAACCACCATTGGGCTGCCCCAGGTGACCCTGTTTCAAAAAGGTAACCAAATCTTTCTATCAAGGGCACGGAACTGTGGCTCAGGACACCTGCATTCTTCCTGTTCCTGGCTCTCACGCTGCCTTAGCTGGTGGCTGTCTGCACTTTCCTTCTGATCTTTGGGCCTCCAATTGCCTAAGTGTGTCCTATGATGGCAGCTGAGATTGTCCTTTGTATGAAGAGCTTCCTTACTCTCGGGCTGCAACCTCAGAGGGAGCTGTGCCATACAGTCCTGTGTTGTTTAAAGTTGTCTTTCCTATCTGCGCTTCCTAGTCCTTATCTACCTTAATTTTCCCCACTGCCAGGTTGCCCCAGTTTGCTGCACTGTTTCTCGCTCCCTGAGGCTTGTGGGCAGTTGTATGCCCACAGCAAAGCATAAATCTATTAGGGTTAATGCTGTGTGAAGTGTCTGCTCTGCTCAGGAGGGATTGCACGTTGCATACTGGAAGGACATCTTTTCCATGCTCACAAACTTACAACAACTCTTGACTCTGCTCCAGCATAAGAGCATCCGAGGGGCTGGGGACAGCCATAGCAGAGAGGGGCCATAGAGGAGGGGGCAGGGTGCCACACTGGAGCTGTGCGGCCTCTCTGCTGCCATAAGGACAAAAGCTGTCATGAGAGCACAGCCAGGTTCTGCACACCTCCTGCACCCAGCCTCATCCCTCCTATTTTGAGTGTTGGTCAGCATTAAACCTTCCCTCAGATGCTCTCCAGAAATTTTCTCTGAGCCCTGAAGTCCAGCCCTTTCCCTTGCTTTGCCCCATCGTCACCAAAGTCTGGCTTAGGGGCAAACCAGCAGGCAATTGCCCGGCCACGGCTCATCCCCAGAGGCTGTGCTTATGTGGCAAGAGGGACAGACCCCAAGAGCGTGGAAGTGCCACTGGCTTGTGTGAGCACTTGCAAGGTAGAGCAGCTAGGTCTCTGGCCAGCATGCTAGTTGCTAAAGCTGGAGCAGTGCTCTCCTCTCCTCTCATGCCCAGTGAAGCTGTGGGCAGCTGTTAGCCATTCTTAAGTAAAGCAGCTACTTCAAAACACATTCCTCTACTGTGTAGATGAACAATTTGCTATTGAAAGGATGGGGAGAGCTGGGGAGGTGGGGGATAATGCCTCTTTTTAATCCCTGGAGTACTTTCAATCTGGTTCACCTAGGCAGGAACCCTCCCAGAAGCTCTGACTGAGGTCATTACAGATTCTCTGCAGGCATCTGGTTTAAATAAGCTAATTTGGGCTTGTAACTGCAGCCAGGAACTGATGAAAAAACACAACAGGCAAAGGCAATAGAACAATTAGCACTCTGAGGCTTCATTGCCACCCCCTTCCCTCCCCCCCCCCCCCCCCCTCTTCGGGAGATCTTTCTACCCAAAGACCCTGTCTGTGTGCCCATTCCCTGGGACACTTTCTGCCAACGCTCCTCAGGGGCCTGGACGTCACTTGAAGAAAATGAGGCTTGCTTTAATCCTAAATCACCATTTCTGGAGCACTCTCTGGTTACCAGTCCTAATGTAGGTCTGTGACAAGTGGTTTAAACTCAGCTGTGCCTGCCCAAGACATGATATCAGCTTTGCTTCCTGCTGAGTGTGAGTTCAGGTTAAAAAGCACATACAGCTCCAAGGCTCCCAGCAAAGAAGAGTGGATCAGGAGGAAGACCTGTCCTAAAAACCCCTTTGGCACGCAGTAAGGGTGCTGCTTCGTGGCAGACATGCCCTGCGCGGGCAGTGCTGCTGGGCCTGGCACAAGCACAGTGCTTAGGTGCTGTCGTTGCCTCTGCCCACAGTGTGCCCGACGAGCTGGTGATGGGTTGATTTTGCCATCTTGGATAAGATGCCCTCTGGAACCCTACTCACAGGTCAGAGAGGCACAACATTCGTCTCTCCCAGCCCTTCCTCCCCTGTTTGCTTGGGCTAGTCCTCATTGTTCCCAGCCAGGGCTCGAAGCTGGCGGACTCTGAGCAAGCTGACAGCAGGGTACCCATGCTGGGGGCACACGGGCAAGCTGACAGGGCAAGTGTCCCAGGAGGGAACCAGGAAGGCAATGGGGCTGATCTGCCAGTTAATCTGCATTGTTGGGAGGAGGGCATTTGAGGGAGAGCTGCGGTATGGGAATGGAAAATGCCTGAAACAGTTCCTGGAAATAAAATCAGAGTATGTGTGCGGGTATAAACAAACCAACAGATAAATATATCCCTCTCTTACTGCCCAGAGCACTCTCCAGCCTATCAGAAGAGCCACTGGGCTCATGGTAGGGCTGTACTAACTCGGGCAGGGAGGTCTGGGAGCATGGGCTATCCTGCATGCTAGTCCTTCGGCATCAGGGCTTTTGTTTGATTAAAACCTTGCTCCCACTGCACTCTGATCCCTAGTTTCTCTCTGTGAGCAGCAGCTCCCTCCACAAGTCTGTATCCTGCAGTAACCTTGTGCAAAGGTCTTGCTTTCTGCTTGATCCCAGTGGTGCTGAGCTGAAAGCTCCAAGCTCAGATGCCCAGGGCCATTTGAGTTTACTTACTACTCTGTAACAGCTGGTGGGTCAGCAGTACCAGAGCCAGGCTATGCTGCAGACAGTAGAAACCAGACAGCAGTTTTCTGCCCTAAACCGCTTAGTAGTATATATAACAAGCAGGGAGGAGAAACAGCAGGTGGAGGAAGTGATGCACAGGATGGTAAGCAGCAGAGCTTGGAATAAATTTATGCTCTCCAGATACAGTGCAGCAGCACCAGCCCTACTGCCAGTAAACGCATTGCCCCTGCCCCAGCCAGGCAGCAGTAACCGCAGGGAGGTGTGTTGCTTGTCCTTCCTCTACAGTGCTCAGGTTAGGTTTCAAACCAGCCTGATTTCCTCTGTGTGGTGCTTGGAACCACACCCATGCCAGCTCCCCCGTGCATAGGCATCACCCTGCTATTTACGCTGAGCTCCCTCTGGCCCGTTTCCTGGGCAAGGACTGGTTCCTCCCTGCCATCCCTGCATGAACATGGGAAGAAACAGCTCTCAACTGTGAGCCTGTGGCAAGACTGGCATTGAGCTGGGCCCTGCCCCAGAGGGTGCAAAGCAGCGTTGATGAGCTCACATGAGGGATTTTATGGGTCCTGCACAGGGGACCCTAGGCACCAGCCAGGTCTCTGGAGCAGCCTCATGACCTTGGTCATGCCACACTGAGTAGGGGGGTGGGAGCACCATGCAGCTCCCTCCCTCCTGGGGACGTGTCTGCTCACTGGAGACATGGTTACAGGGCAGAAGATGCTAGGGGAAGGCTGAGCTTGTCCCAGGCACAGTAGGAGAGCCAGTGCTGGGCATGGGGTTTGGAGACCAGGCACTGACCTGGTGCAGCTTCACCAGCCCCTCTGAGCTACCCAGGCCAAAATCCAGCCGCAGGGAGGGGAGGGATTGCTTCTCTGGCAATTGCCAGTGGCTGTCAGGAGCTGCATGAAATGCCACACTGTAAAGAAGAAGCGAGATTCAGGAGTTTGCATTTGTGGCACGCTTACTCTGGAGGGATGCTGAGCGATGAGTGCCTCTAGAGCTCCTGTCCTACAAGCACTAAGCACTGGAAACGCTCAGTGCCTTTCACTGAAGGTCAACATCTCCGACCTGTTGCAAAGGAGGGAAAGGTGTAACACCATGGGAGACAGGGTCTAGGCTGGCCCACTGATGATGCGTTTTATTAGGATGACTTCTAAGTAATTATCTTTTTGGGGGGGGAGGGAGCATTTTATGCAGCTGTTTGCTTTCTGTTCAATGTTTTTGCATTGAGGAAATGCAAGTTTCTAAAGAAAAACCACTTAAAGAAAAAAAATCAACAAAGCTTTGCCATTTAAGGTCATTAATGTGGTCTAAAGGAGATGATCCTGACACTTTCTCTTTCATGTTCTTGTTTTCCTTCAAATCCAGAGATGCTCTGTAGACACTTTTCCTACAGAGATCCACCATCACCACCACCCAATTTCAATGAACTGTTGCCCAGGCACAACAACGGTGCCTGGGACAATTCTTTGAGCACTGTGAAGGGCCAGGTCTCCAGGGTTTGGTGTCAGCCCAAGTCAGAGGGGCCTTGCTGGTTCTTCCCAGCTCCTCTGGGGCCAGAAGCATCCTGCCACGTTGGGGACTGGGATGTGCCACTGGAAAGATGACCACCTGCTGCTGCACAGTAGAAGAGACCAAAGCTAGGAAATGCAACCAACCAACTGCCAGGAGCGATCA